GGGGGGGGGGGGCAGAGCAGCAGGAATCGGGGACTTGAAGTGATCTAATGGAGTAGAGCTGTACCTCTCAAATACAGATTAATATGTGAGAAAGGCTGCACTTCCAGTGGATAAGTTTTCCTCCTTACAGTGGTGTGTTTTCTGCTGGCAGAAAAGACTAAACAGATATGCTACTGTATATCTATTTTGAAGTATCATTTATAAAAACTGCTTAAAATCAGTTAAGTTTTTTTTACTTGATGGTTTTCCTATTTATATGAAATGTTTTCCCTCTTAATATGAAAGTTAGCCTGAGAACAAATCTATTTTCCAAATTTTCAATTATATTAGTTCTTACATTCGTTGTTGTTTGAACCCTCTCCAAATTCTTCACTTCTTTTTGAAGAACATGTGGAAAATTAGAGCAGTGTGAAGGAAAAGTATCCCCCAGGGTGTTATAAACTATTACCCCCAAATAATTTCCTTTATCCCCCTCATTTCCTATACTATATTTTAATAGTGACTTTCCTTTGAAATAAATATTATAGTAGGCTTGACAGTCATCCTGAAATCCATAAGTTCTTTGTATATTTGGAGTTTAACATTATATGTGTGATTTTGTAATTTAATGTTTTTTCAAAAGTCTTTGTCATATTACTCTTCATTTGTGAAATGTTAGTATTAAGTTGAAACATGTAACTTCCAAAAATCAAACCACTTTTAACCTAAAAAAATTGAGTCATTTAATTTGGTTCGGCCTAATATATTCAAACACACTACTACTAAATAAGAAAATTGAATCAAATACATTAAAATTAATATTACACATGAATTTAGTACTTTCATCAATAGATACAAATTATAACCTGCTATATTATTGCACATTAAATTTATTTTACACTAAATTAAAAAAAACATACAATTTTTTCAACAAATTTTTATTGAATGCCTATGATGAGCCTGATCCTTGTGGCACTGATTTAGGAGTTTGATATATATCAATGAACAAGACAGGAAACACAAAAAATTATTGTGTTGAGGGAGGTCAGTGCTACGGAAAAAACTTGCTTAGTATAAGTGGGAACACGAATGCTGAAAGTTGGGTGCAGGTTGCTGTTTTTAATAGGGTTATCGTGTAAACATCTGATTGGAAGGTGATATTTGAATAAATACTTGAAGGTAGTAGGGAGGCAGTTAATTGCTTATCAAGTGAGAGTGTCCAAGCAGAGAGAACTGACATTTCGGAGAAGGTAAGGTGGAAGGACACCTGGAATCCTGTAAGAACATCACAGAGGCCACTAGAAAGAAAGAACTGGGGGAAGGAAGAAGACAGAGATGAGGTCAGTGGTAGTATGGGGCAGGGTTGTGATCCACTCTGGCACCTCTTGGCACACCCTTGCCTAATTATGAGTGAGGAGCATATGGTTACAAGACTAAGACTTTTGGAAAGAGGGCTTGAGTTACATCATTAGATAAACCTCCAAGACCAGCCTAGATGACAGCTGAGGGAGGCAGGAATTTAGACTGGAGAGTGGGAAAGGAAGGCAAGGAGTGCCAGTTGCAGTCACAAGAAGAACTGCAGTGATGGGTCTATAGTTGCTTCTACTAATCTCTCTCTTCCAAATTTCTGCTCAAGAAGAGACCATCATTGCATCCTGGGGTAGTCACCACTCAACACTTGCATGGAGAGTTGAATCCACGTGGCACAAAGAGTGAACTGTGGCATCGAAGGATGTGTACTGCTCATCTCTCCCTTCTAGAAAGGATGCACTGAGCTTGAGGAGTGCAGTTAGTAGATGTCCCCCTGTGCACTGTGACTCCCCATTCTGTTGGCTGAGACATTGCCACATCTGCTTCACAGTCTAATTCTCTCTGCCCAGTTTTGTTTCTTCACTGATTTCCTTTTGCAGGTGTCATGTCTGATCACAGCCTGAAAGCTTTCTAGCCCAGTTCTGCTTCCCCACTCTATCTTTCATAGACATGACCCACCCCCCCAACACACACACACTAGCCTCGTTCACTCCTAACTGGGTCTCAGCATCTGCTTCCTGGAGGACCCAAACTGACCTACTCCATGGGGGCAAGATTTCATCTTTTTGATTCTCAACTGAATCCCCAGTGCCTTGAACAGTATCTCCCAAGTTATAGTCATGAAATAAGTAGATTTTTAAACTTGTAATCTGAATTAAGCATAATTATCTCCCTTCTTATTAGATGTGGACCCCTTCAAGACTGGTATAGTA